TCCCTTTCTGATATCGTTCGGTAGATGCTCGGATACTCCTGAAGTGAACCCTAATGTCGTGACGACAGAAAGGGTATTGGAAGAAAAGATCCGCATATCCCGAACCGTATGGCCTCTAGCGGCGTCCATCCAGTACGCCGACCACTTTTGTCACCGGTACACCTCCCGTGGTGTCGAGAGATACTCTGGTCCCTGGGATGTACAACCAAAGAATGTTGTACTCGTTATTGGGAATCAAGGTAAGGGTCGATTTGTGGCGAGTAGCTAGACACGACACTAATCCTTTCCTATTTACTTTACGTGAAATAGCGGATCCTATCACACCTTATCGAAACGCGCAACTTGTGACGAGGTTACTGGGAAGCAAGGCGAGACTAGTCCAACAAGCCGGATATGGTCACACAATTCGTAAGCATCTGGTTTCTGCTTACCATCTCTCGAAACTGAAAACTAATTTGACATACAGTTGCTCTAAGTATGTCGATTCATAGGCTATTCAAACGAGAAACAGGCACCTAATACTGCAATAATGATTCTCAGATTCGACCTGCACCGCGAATACCATCAAAAAATACCTACAAGGGACTATTCCAGACGATAAAGGAGACGACGGTCCGGATGTTCTTTGTGAATTGGATGAAGGTCCTTTTGGGCTCCGTAAGTGTTTTACTTCTTCCCAACTATGCCTTTGTCAGATCTTGGTCAACTGATATTCTCTCATTTACAGCTGGAAACACGCCTTGGAATATCACATCATCCGAGAATGGCGATAAACTCACTGCCGGACCGGACGACCCTGGTCTAGTCAACTTTCCTGGTCTCACCGTACCTCCTGCAGTGGGCGGTCAAGAAATCTCTAATGGAAATAATGAAAGTCAGAACGGTGCTATCGGGAAATCTAGGTTGGGATGGTGCGCAGTAATCGTAGCCTGTCTCGGCACGGCGCTAATGGTGGCATAAGATGGAGATGAGCTGTGACGGGGGTAGATAACAAAATGTGTTC